AGGGGACCGAGACGACTTCAACGATACCCTACTTTTGGACCGGAGACGAAAAATAATAAAGTTATCATACTTTTTCTGGTGATCGCATGATATAATTGTGCAGTTAATGTTACCTATGGTGAGTAAAATGGCAGCTCGTCTCTGATTCCAGCAAACAGAAGAAAGGAAACAGTAGGGACGCACATTCTAACCTAACCTAACCTAGTCTAGTCTAGTCTAGTCTAATAAATTACCATAATTATTACCAACCAAATTATTAGAATAGGTTAGGTTAGGTTAGAACGTGTGTCCCCACTGTTTCCTTTCTTCTGTTTGCTGGAATCAGAGACAAGCCGCCATTTTACTCACCATAGATAACATTATCCAATTATGCTTGCTTACTAGTGCAGTTTAAAGATTGGTGACACTTTGAATTTCATAGCAATTGGTTTTTGCGACAAGCACACCTTTTGTGGTACATTTATTTGTGGCAAAGATCTTATTTTCACTTTACCGAGTGCCTAGTAGCTAATGTGCGGATTACCTAGATACTCTGCACATTATCTAGGTAATTTGAGAAATGGAACAATTTTCACAACTTTAATGGATCACCCTAGTTAATCTGCAGATTAGCTAGGTAATGTACACATTAATGACTTTCGAGCTTTAGCGGTAACATATATACCGTATATAGATGTGACAATCATGTATATATGTATGTATGATACATGTGACAATATTGAATTGGTATTTTTGTAAGAATTTAAATCAATATAATATTTTGATATTAAATTCTAAACCTCTATTTTATAAAAAAGTTGAGAAGAATGAGGAACAAACATTTCCTTTTTTGACTGTTAGTTCCTAAGAGAGATCGTTATCTCTCCTATGACTAAATATCTGACTAAATAAGACTCATCTTGACATCCCATCAGATGGTCAAAATACTTCTCATTGGAAGAGAATATTTGTATAAAAAGAGTTTACACGCTACACTCAGCGTGCATAGTTTTAAAGTAGTCGCCATATCTTAATTTTGTGTCTGATCTCCTCTGCTCCCCAACTTCCACCTCCCGAGGACATATGTATAACTGAGGTATTAGTATAATATTTATTATAAACTCTCAATATATAGCAATAGCATTATATTTAGATAAGTCAATGTCCTCTAGGTTACTTTATTTGTTTATTAAAATGGAAGGGAATGCTCATATTAGTTAAATATTGGACACCCTATCGACATACTTATTACACTCCCCACTCGTAACTAATAGCCCTCCTATATTCTATAAATATCCTTTAAGCCATCCATTGATAATGTGAGTGGGTCTTACCAACTTGTTGCTGTTAAATATTCGATTTATTGTCTTAATCGAACCTGGTTTCTCACATACACTGACATTTTTATTATGAATAGCTTATATTGGGAAAAGTGGATAACACTTATGGAATAGAGTTTGAACCACCTATAGCAGGGACCTAGTTTCTAGTAAACAAAATTATTCAATTTTGTTGCTAAAATATTTAGTATTAAAATACTAAAATTGATGGTCTGATTCCATATCTAAAATATAACATTGAGCTAGTTTAATATATTGAGTATGGATGGTCTCAATGACAATCCTTTGGAAATTACTTTTTTTGATAACTTACAGGTTCTTTAACTAAATGCAAATTAAATTCCTTCTGTTTTTTGGAGTACTTCTTAATTTTTATAAGCATTTAATATTAAACAGTTTGTTACAAAACGACACTGATGATTTCAGAATGTACAGGGTTTTAAGTCCCACCAGATTTCAAAGCACTGTATCATCAAGATGAAATGTCATAACAATCATCATGAAATAACTTGCAAAATAAGTGTAAGTTTGGAATAGACAATACTGACATCAGTGTCTCTCAAAGCAGTCAGTTGTTTTCAGGATGGCAACTGTTCAGAAGAAGGTGCAGTGTGTTCTGTGGTTGCTGAATTTAAATCATATTGCAGTGTGCAGAGTTCCAAAAACTTCACAAAAAGAATGCTCCAGATAACAGGAGCATTAAAGGTAGTTTTATAACTTCAAAGAAACTGGAAATGTTGCAGATTTACTACATAGTGGTAGACTTGGAGCCAGCATGAAAGTGGTTGAATTGGAGAGGATGAGTGTGCTCAAGAGTCCCAAAAATTCCATCAGAAGCAGGACTGCAGAATTAGGAATGAGTGCCAGTACAACACAAGGTAATGTCTAAACAATTTAAAGCTGAACCATATCACTCACCCTCACTATTAACTTTATAATATGTCTTAATAGTCATTTTACCAAGATATTTTATTTTCATCTAAGAAAAAGAATCTTAGATGAAAAGCCTTAGAATAATAAGAATTATTAGGAAAAACAGTATAAACAAGGTCTTGGAAAAGTCATTGGTTTCTATTAAATAATAAATTTTTATTTCATACCTGATTGAGTCCCATCGATTTTATGAATATTGTTTAAAAGGACATTGTGAAGTATAACGGGCGGTTGACTTTTAGCATTTAGTTTCAAATCACTGGGAAGTTTCTCCAAAGATTTCTCTCCAAACAGCCAGTCTGCCTATTAAATTATATTAACATTTACAAAAATTATTACATATAATTGTACAAACTATTATACATAAAGTATAGATAAATATAAATTACTCTAATTTTATATTATACTAAATATCTAAAAAACTAGAAATATTAAAAATTTGCTCATACATAAAATTTTAAACTCAAAAATAAAAGATTCCCATACAAATCTTAAAGGAAATAGGTCTTGATGGATTTGGCTGAATTTTTGATATTTTCTAGCTCTAGTGGTCCTGATCATTTTTTTTACTTTGTGTCTATGAAGACTTTTGGACAGCTTTTGAGTTATCAAGCATCCAAGGTGCAAAAAGCAGTGTAATTTGCACAAGTATTGCAAAGCTCTAAATCATTTTTGTTTCAAAATAAAAAAAGATGTTTTCAAATTTTATTGCTGTTTGGCAGATTATCCAGATTTCTTTGTAAGGAAATCATTCATTATACAATAACATGCAAGTTTGAATTTGTTGTCATTTTGGTTCATAACAGTAGATATGGTGCCCTTCTGATAAGAAATTAACTCTGCTGAGACTTGTATAAAAAAATACTTTGCAATCATCTATGTGAAATTGAATAAAGGAGGAAAAAAATTCATAATTCTTCTTTATTAACATTAATGATTAACTTCCATAATTCTGAAATAGCTTGGTATGGCTTTCAGAAATAATTTGCATTGTTATGTTTGTGACAAAGTATTTCTTCCATGGCAAACAAATTGATTGAACAGATGGAGATGAAAGTGTTGACAAATGTAACATCACCATTCAAAGACATTAGGAATTTTTAGATCACTGCTTATTGTAACAAATGTGACAAGAAAATGTACAAACTGCAATTATTCTATTGCAGAATATCAATAACATATTTAAAACACATCATTTTAAATTTTGAAACAAAAACAATTTAGTTCATGACGTGCACAAATTATGCCTTTGCATTGTGGACACTTTATAACTCAAACTGTTCCATTGTTTTACTTTGTGCCTAGATAGACTTTTGATTGGTATCACTAGAACTACAAAATATCAAAGATTTGGCCAAATCCACCAAGACCAATTTCCCATAAGGTTTGTGCAAGGTCCTTTTCCACATATAAAACAATAAACCCTAAAAAACATTTTAATCTGCAGTCTTTTTATTAAATCTTCTAACGCTTTCAGTCAATTGTGTGAGATAAGCCAGGAGTACAAAGTCAGACAGAACTGGTGTACCACTTAATCGGCACAAAACCTCGCAATCCGATCCGATCTCTATCTTTTAGGAGGGCTTTAAAAGTGTTTAAGAAAGGTGGAGACGTACGATTGTATAATCCGGTCTCCTGTCAGGATTCCCGACACCAGCCTAGATATAGCATGCTTATATGTCTAATTTTAGAGAAATATTGAGTGTGGAGGTGGTGATTAAGTGGAGGGGACATAGGTGTGGATAATAGCCATTAAAGAGACCATAATTAAGTAACATAACAAAATTATTTAATTAAATCAAACAAAATAATAATACAATTAATGGGATTACAAATGATACAGTATATTCTGAACCTATATCGCAGAAAGAAAATCAACTATCTAACTTAAATGTAATTCAACCTATACACGTGAGAGAGAGTTCACATCAATCTAAACAGATTATACTATCTTCAGTCTCCATAAGTATCTTGTATTTGAATGCTGTCTTCCCGTTCAGGATCAGGGAGACGTTTAGGAATCTTAACATCTATGGATGCACTATTTCAATATGATCGACATCTTTGTGGCTGTCCTCTTAACTATGAACAGCCTTCTTCCGCTGAACTGCTCTATATCGTATGGTGAATTCTGTTCTCTAGGATCTGGACTTCGTAGAATTGCCTAAGTTCTATATGGTAACCTCTTCCAACGGACTACCCAGAATGGTGGGAAAAATGTCCCTTTTATATGAGTCGACAGCCTAACCGATGCCAGGTCTTGTGTGCAGTCATTTCTGATTCAGCTTACTCATCATTGGAGAAAAGAAATGAACTTCCTATCAAAATCGAAAGTTTTGACATCTGTTGTTCGAAAAATTTGTCAAAGTACAAAATATTGAATTTAAATCATCCTCTTTTTTTCTAATTTCTTCAAAAATGCTCCCCCTTAAATCTTGACTCTCACAATTGATTGACCTTCTTCAGGAAAAATCAAAAATATTTAAATTTATAAAGAATGAAACCTGTGTTTTTAGAATGTTTTTAAATTTTCTTTTACATCTAATGCACATGTCCGGTATCAATGTGTGATGAAGGGACCCTCAATAAAGTGTTATTTTAAAATTCAATCGTCTGATTTAGGTTAAAATCCATAAAAATTATCTCCCACGGACTTGCTTCCTTGTTGAGGATGATCCATCTAGTCATTAATGTGTCACCAGGAACTTTCAATAAATTTCCAGTTTGTTGCCAGCCAGGCCCTTGGCAACAAACTCCTGACCTACTAGAAACTCCCAGAAGGAAAAATTCCCAATAACCAGGGAGAGTGATGAGAATCCAGGCACTTGTCTTCTAGTCGTTCAACTGAGAATGTAAGAACTTGAACCTGCATCTTCCGAATACTACTTCTGAACATTACGCAACCAAGAAGCCATTGGATATTCATTTGTGGACTGTTTTAATCATCAGTTTCACCCCTCTGTGTTACTACATCCAGGACATTAAAGAATCACCTTCCAAGTGCCCAAATCCAGGATTACTACACCACATCTCTTAACAAGGTATTTATCAACATGTGAGTCGTTTGTAAACTCTTCTCTTGAACGAGCTAGTAATAATCAATGGGACCTTTAGTCATGCTTGATATCGACAGTATATCTATAGTCTCTTTTGTTAGAATTAAAATTGTTCTTGTTAGTTAACCAGAGTTCTGAGTGAATCACTTCCTCGTCTCTCTCCTCAACTCTACTCTGAATCCAACCGTTTACCTGCAACTGCTCGCATGACGTAAAGTCGCAATTTCAGAGTCCTGAGAGACTCGGTGTCACATCCTGACGCGGTGTCGAAGAGACACCGACCCTATGGTCACATGTGAATAGATATGATAATTACAATACACAGGATAACAACATACAGAAATACAAATAAAATAAAAACAATAAAAATAACATAAACGGCAAAAATGTGCCTATAACTTTTACTGTCTGTGAATTTTTTCTTACTAATATAATCACATTAAGCATGCACTCCATGCCACCGAAACTTTATTCAATTCTCTAAAATTTATTGCTTGTCCTGCTTGGTTAGTTTTGTGTATGTGCCATGCTTCTGTGTACTTAATGTTTGCTTGTCATCATTCTGTATAATGTATGTTTGTACATGAATCTGGGGAAATGAGGCCTGGATACCTAGCAGGCCAGATTCCATGGGAGATAATATGCAATTGTCAAAGAATTCTTCCAAAAACCAGATTATGATCGATGGCACTATTACTTGCTCATAGACAAAAGTGGAAACGTTGTACATACAACTTAAAGCCCTTGTATACAAAGCTGTACTTATAACTTTAATGTCGTTACAAATTTCTCATAGCACGGTAGCTGTTTGAACACCCTGTAATTGCTTTAAAAGCATTTAGGCTTCTTTTCAGTTTTTATAAGAAACACAGCAAAGAAAAACTCTGCTTAATATAAATAAGAGTTTTAAAAAATGATGATATAATAATTTAAATACTTACATAAGTAATCATAGTTTCAATAATGTAACACTGATAAGACATGTCTGTAACCATTGTTAACATACTGCTTTCGGCAGATCTCACTAATGTTGGTCCAAACACGATGGCTAAATTTCTTGCCTCCATCTTTAATTTTAAACATTATATATAAAAATTATTAGTACTAAACTTTTCTTCAAATAATACTAAATTTATAAATTTCTTACTTTATTGACATTCGAATGACTGACAATTGTTTGCAGATGCTTCATAAGCAGCTTTAGAGTTTCTAAATGAGGAGGAGGAAGTTGTGATGCCTGGAAAAAATTGATTATTTAAAATTTAGGATGTTTGTATATGTTAATATAAGAAAAGAACAAGTTGACTTTTTAGTTGCAAAGAACATAATTTCATAATTTTAAGATACAGAATGTAACTCTGTATCTTTAAAATTATAATTTTTTTAAAGATTAATAAAAATATGGAATTAATTATTATATACAAATTTTCTCTACACATTGCACAAAAGTTCTGTAGGTGAGTCTTAAAAAGTCTACTATCACACTTGGAATTCATTTGTCTACAAGGTAATAGTAGAACTCTCCAACTTTAAAAATGCATACTAAAGGAGCCCTATTGCCTTCTCATTTCTCAGGAATGATAAGGATCCAGCTAATGAAAAATCTCTACCTAGGATTTACTCAATTCTTTTGCAGGATAAAACAGTGCATCATCACTATGAATATGTTGGTGTGATATATAGATCTTTGGGCATTAGAATCAAGGAACATCAAAATGCAATTAGAAAGTACCTATGTACAACTGCCTTGGCAACTTTTGCTTGTGACTGTAATGTTGATGTTTCTTTTGACATAGCACATTGCTCCAACATGACTTAAATATTTAGAAAGTCTGGAAATTTATAAAGCTATCAAGAAAGAGACTGCAGTAGTGTCACATGCTTCGAGGGCATCATTTGAAGTTCTGTAGTATTCTTTACGTTTCTCCTCACAATATTTGTATACTTCATTGTATTTATTTAATTATTTTATTTTGTATTTAATATTTTTTGTTAATTTTTAATCTTATTTTCTATATTTTGTTTAATATATTTATGTTCCTGCATATGTGACTTGCTACACAAATTTGTATTTTTTTCAGGGCTGTGGAGTCGCGTAAAAATCTACCGACTCCAACTTTTCCTTACCATCCGACTCTGACTCTGACCAGGGGCGGATTTGTTATTGAAAGAAACCCGGAAATTTTGATGTTATCACGTGACCTCAGAATAAAAGAGGTCACGTGATAACATCAAAATTTCCGGGAAGTCTTTTAGCTTTGGAATAAAAAGTTTCTACGCTCTAAGTATTATATAAATATGTATTCGATAATTTTTACTTTTCTGGCTGTTATATATAACAGAGGAAAAGTGTAGCGCTTGCTGAAAAAATGAGTAAAAAAATTTTTACATTTTTGGACTCGGGACACCTCGAAATTTCATGATATGCAAAAGATTCGAGGTTTTTCTATATGTATGGATGTTAGACTGTGGGGGGGGGCATGATTTTGTTCACCCTGTTCGAAGCCTAATAATTTCTGTGGTCAGAGTGGTCAGAATCGGAGTCCGATGGTTTAACACAGGAGTTAGTTATTAAGCATTAAAGTGGTTGAACTAAATCATGTCCCCATATATATTCTAACATCTTAGGGGAGAACATCTTAATGGGTTTTACTGTACTATTATAAAATGGCTAAAAAGCTTACTTTGAGGGTAGATACAAGTTTTAATTTTTTATTTTTCTAATTTTGAATGCTAATAACGAGTAAAATATTCATTAAGAGATATGACACATGACCACTTTTAGGTCTTCACCCTGTCGACCTTTAATTAAGAACCAAAATTTAATAGTATTAATNATGTGAATTATTCTTCCTGGAAAAAATAAGACATTCCCTGAAAATAAGACCCAGCGCATTTTTCAGAGCAAAAATTAATATAAGACACTGTCTTATTTTCGGGGAAACACGGTAGTTTTACCTGTCAGTTTATATGAGACAATACTATATATGGGGTACCTACTTAAACATCTATACGGGCAAAAGAGATCTTTCCAGCATTGCATGAGCAGATGCATGTTCCAGTGTTAAATTCTCCAGTTATTTCATGATGATTTAGCCTAGCAAACAAATAATCTCTGATTACAAAGGATAAAAACAACATTGCAGAAATTGATACAAAAAAGTGGCTATCATCTTTTTAGGGAACATGTTCAAAATGACTGTATTGTTAACAAAGGCAAAGATGTAGATGGTTGAGCATGGCATTCTTAGCACCACTGTTTTACAGACCACTTGTACATATCTTACATTGATACTTTTAGATGACTAAGGAAAAAATCCAGTTTGGAGTCAAGGTGGAGGCTGTGTTCTCTTATCCACTCTGCAAAGCAGTGATGCATGTCTGCCAGCAATGAGGTGGAAGGCCATCTAGCTGGTACCAAACTAATATTTGAACATCTTAAACATGACAGTGGACAAATGACTTGCCATCGACTCTATAGTTGCACCAATGGCAAGTCATTTGTCCACTGTCATGCTTAGGATGTTCAGATATTGGTTACATTTGGTTTTCAATGCTCCAGAGAACCTGCTTCCATTGATTTACAGTTCAGTTTTGCCCACTGGAGAAAACCTGTTTTGTTATTTTTGCTGATCAATACTTTGTCCACAAAACCCCACAAGACTAACTTCGGTATACATTTTGGGGCATGAAATGAAACAAAATGAACACACTATGTTGCACCTTTTGCATCTCACAAAAGATTAGCACATTTCTCCCCCTTTCCCCCTCTTTGATACTTCATCACATTGCAGACACGTGTGGTTACATTGCTTGCTGGTTATTACTCCTGGTTATTGTTCATTGATAAAGATCTGTTTTGCCATTTCATCTTCTTAAGTATTGTTTTATTAGGTGACAGTTTTCTCTTTTAGCCCAAACCTTGACTTATTGTCACAGTTACTGTCCTACTTCCATTTGATTATTATTAAGTATAGAGATGCTTACTCATCCAAAATTAACCAAAAATGCCCAAATATGACATCCAATGAAACTCTGTTCTGGCATCTATGTGAATCACAGAGTACTACTATCAAACAACTGATTCAGGCATTTTATTTTACAGATGTCACATGCTTTGGTAGGAAATTTACATTTTTTGCAAGAGTGTCCAATCACTTTTTGCAACATAGTGTATATGTTACTGCTAAAGCTCGAATATAGAGTATATGTTACCGCTAGCTAATCTGCAGATTAACTAGGGTGATCCGTTAAAGATGCTAAAATTGCTCTATTTCTCAAATTACCTAGGTAATCTGCAAATTACTACTAGGCACTCGGTAAAGTGAAAATAAGATCTTTGCTGGAACAACAGCAACGTTTCTGTACGCTTAAATTAACATATTGTTCTTTATTTAATTTTCGATATCTAAAGAATCAAGTTAATACAATCAACAAATTAGTTGATAGAATCAATCATCAACCAATTAAAAAACATACAAAAAATCAAATGGTTTAAAATATTAATACAATTAGGGAAATTATTATATAGATAACCATCTATGGAATTTCGGGACTTTGAGTATCTATCTGAACTGAGGAGATCGAGACAACTTCAACGATACCCTACTTTTGGACCGGAGACGAAAAATAATAAAGTTATCATACTTTTTCTGGTGATCGCATGATATAATTGTGCAGTTAATGTTACCTATGGTGAGTAAAATGGCGGCTC